GCTCCACTGAGATTACCCAATTTGGGGAAAAAAGAAAGAACAATGATGAAAAGGTCCTAAAGGGCCTGTGGTAGACTATCAAACATAATTGGAGTCCCAGAAATACACATAATTGGAGTCCCAGAAAGACACAAGTGATAGAAAGACATAGACAGAAAAATCAATACATAAAGGCAGAAGACATGCTGATTTTGAAAATACATATGAATCTATATGTTTAAAAAGCTTAATGTAACAATTTAAAATTTAAATTTAAATTTAAACATCTTTTCCTTTGATTATTGAGTATAGATAGCCCTTGCCTACTTTTATGCTGGACTACGGTCTTTTTACTTTTGATTTGTTGAACTCTTTATTTAGTGGGGCCAATAAGCCTTTGACCATAATTTAAGTTAAAAATACATTATATTGGGGCCGGTACTGTGGCACAGTGGGTAAAGCCACTGCCTGTGGTGCTGGCACCCCATATGGGTGTCAGTTTGAGTTCCGGCTGCTCCACTTCCAAATCCAACTCCCTGATAATGTGTCTGGGAGAGCAAAGGAAGATGGCCCAAGGGCTTGGGTCCCTGCACCGACATGCAAGACCCAGAAGAAGCTTCTAGCTTTGGATCGGCTCAGCTCCAGCAGTTGCAGCCATTTGGTGAGTGAACCAAAGGATGGAGGAGCTCTATGTCTCTACGTCTCTCTCTCTCTCTAACTCTGTATTTCAAATAAATAAATGTATCTTTAAACATACATTATCCCAAAAAATATATTTTTTTTCAAAAGCTCAGTCAACTAACTCCAAGTTGGATAAACTCAGAGGTCCGTTTTGAGACATATTATAATTTGTCAACAGACAAAACAGAGAATCTTGAAAGCAAAAACATCAAAGTAACTGATAACATAGAAGGGATCCTCAATAAAATCAATCAACAATTTCTTGTTGGAAACCATGGAGGCCAGAAGGCAATGAGATAGCATATTTAAAGAGCTAAATAAAAAAGTCAATGAAGATTATACCTGGGTGAACTACCCTTCACAACTGAGGAGATATTAAGACACTCGCAAACAAACAAGAGCTCAAGGAGTTCATCACTAGTATATCTGTCCTATAAGAAAGACTAAAAGATATCCTTCAGGCTTAAATGAATGTATGTTAGACAGTAACTGAGGCCATATTAAAAAAAAACACACCAGTACAGTATCAGATACTTAATTAAGTACTATATTACTTAAGTAATATAGAGAGAAATGTATAAAAACCATAATTATAGGTATATATTAGTGGACTCACAACATATGAAATGCAATTTGTGACAACAACAATAGAGAGGATGGAGCTATATAGGAGCAGAGTTTTTGTATACTACTGAAGAAAAACTGGTATACATTTAAACTAGATACTAAGAAAATAAATAAAAATATAGAAAGGAGGAAAGTAAAAGATAATCAAAATGATACACTACAAAATATCAATTTAACTGGAAGAAAATTATAGTGGAGACATTAAGGAATAAAAAGTTACATGATTTATAGAAAACAGCAAAAAGGTAGAAGTCATTATCAGCAAGAAATTCATTTAAAAGATTTGGTGAATAGATAAAAAGATATGGATTTTTAAAAAATATACCAAAGAAACATAATCCAATTATATACTGTCTTTAAGAGGTTTTAGATTCAAAGTAAAAAAAAAAGTGAATATACACAGGAAGATAATCCATGCAAATAGTAACCAAAATTAAACTGATGTGGTTAAGTTAATAAAATAGAACTGAAGTAAAAAATTTTTTTCCGAGCTGGCGCTGTGGTGTAGTGGATAAAGTCGCCACCTGCAGTGCTGTAATCCCATACAGGCATCGGTTCAAATCCTGGCTGCTCCACTTCTGATACAGCTCTCTACTGTGGCCTGGGAAAGCAGCTGAAGACGGCCCAAGACCTTGGGCCCCTGCACCTGCGTGGGAGACCTGGAAGAAGCTCCTGGCTTTGAATCAGCGTGCCTCCAGCCATTGCAGTCAATTGGGGAGTGAACCAGCAGATGGAAGACCTCTTTCTCACTCACTCTCTCTGCCTCTCCTCTTTCTGTGTTACTCTTGACTTTCAAATAAATAAATACATCTTTTAAAAAATTAAAGAAAAATTTCATTACACAAAAAAGACATTGTGATTCATAAAAGAGCCAATATATCAAGAATATATAATTATAAACACCTGTATCTAAAATACGTTGAGTAAAAATTTACAGAATCAAAGGGAGAAATCAACAGTTATACAGTGATAGCTTGAGACTTCAATATCTCATTTTATAACAGACAGAACTAGGTAGAAGATTATTAAGAAAACAGAGTACTTGACCTGAGGAGAAAGAGAACATGCCATATAATAGAATACATATTTTCTCAAATGACACACATCATTCTCAGAACACATCTTACTCTCTAGGTCAGAACACATGTTAGGTCACAGAAAAAGTCTAAATAAATTTTAAAAGATGAAAATGATACAAAGGTTTTTCTCTGATCACAATGAATGAAATAAAAAATAAATAACAGAAGAAAACCAGGAAAAAATTAAATATGTAGTAATTAAACAACATACCTTTTTTGAGAGGCAGAGAGAGACAGAAAAAAAGCCCCCATCTGCTGGTTCACTACTCAAGTGCCCACAATGGCAGAAGAGGCTGAAGTTGGGAAATGGGAATTCAACACAGCTAACCCATATGGGTGGCAAGAACTCAACTACTTGAACCATCACCACTGTCTCGTAGGGTCCACATTAGTAGGAAACTGGAGTCGGAAGCAGAGTCCAGGGTAAAAGCCAAGTATTCCAATATGGGATATGGGTATCTTAACTGAAGTCTTAACCACTAGGCCAGCTACCTGCCCCCAAGCAACACTTCATTTTTAAACAATGTTGTTCTTTTAAACAGAACTTAAAAAACCCAACTCTTCCCTTGGTGATAGCTTCCTGGAAAGCAGCAGATAATGGCTCAAATACTTGGGTCCCTGCCAACCATGTGGGAGACTTGAATTGAGTTCTTGGCTTGTGGCTTCAGCCTGGCCCAGCCCCAAATGTTGATTGAGGACATTTGGGTAGTAAACAAGTGGACAGGAGATCTCAGACATACAATCTTTCACACACACACACACTTTCTTTCTCTCCCCTTTAAAGAAAATAAAATAAATAATAATAAAAAACTATAAAAATAAGATAAAATTAAACTCAAAGCTAGCATCAGGGAGGAAATGAAGATTGGAATATTGCTTAGAAAAACAATAGAATCAACAAAAATTGGCTCTTTGATGTCTTTTTGTTTTTGTTCCTTAAAACTGCTTTAGATGTTCAAGGTCTCTTGTGTTTCTATTTGAATTTTAGCATCAAGCATCATTTTTTCTAGATCTGAGAAGAATGCCGTTGGTATTTTGATTTGGGATCACACTGAATCTGTAAATTGCTTTCAGTAGTACGGACATTTTGATGTCATTAATTCTTCCAATCCACGACCATGGAAGATTTTTCCATTTTTTAGTGTCTTTTTCTATTTCTTTCTTTAATGCTTTGTAATCTTCATCATAGAGATCTTTTATCTCCTTGGTTAAATTTATTGCAAGGTATTTAAAATTTTTGTAGCCACTGTGAATGGGACTGATCTTACAGCTTCCTTCTCAGCTATGGCATTGTCTGTGTATACAAAGGTTATGGATTTTTGTATGTTGATTTTAAATCCGGCAATTTTTCCAAACTCTCTTATGAGTTCCAATTGTCTCTTAGTGGGTTCTTTTGTTTCCCCTATATATAGAATCATGTCATTTACAAACAGGAATAATTTAACTTCCTCCTTTCCGATGTGTATCCCTTTGATTTCTTTTTCTTACCTAATGGATCTGGCTAAAACTTCCAGGACTATGTTGAATAGCAATGGTGAAACTGGGCATCCTGTCTGGCTCTGGATCTTAGTGGAAATGCTTTCAACTTTTCCCCATTCAATATGATGCTGGCTGTGGGTTTTTCATATATTACCTTGATTGTGTTGGGGAATATTCCTTTTATATCCAATTTGTTTAAGGTTTTTATCATGAAAGGATCTTGTATTTTATTGAATGCTTTCTCTGCATCTATTGAGGTAATCATATATTTTTTATTCTTCAATTTGTTAATGTGATGTATATACCATGACCAAGTGGGATTTACTCCAGGAAAGCAAGGGCAAATTAACACATGAAAATCAAATATATCACATTAACAGAATTAAAGAAAAAATACACAATCATCTCAATCTGTGCAGAAAGAATATTTGACAAAATCTAACAGTTTTCATCATAAAAACACTCAAAAACTAAAAACAGAAGGGAATGTTCTAAGCATAACAGCAGACATTTGTGAAAAACTTCCAGCTAACATCACATTCAATGGTGAAAGACTGAAAATTTTTCCCAATACTGTATATACATACTTATTGTCATGGGTATTAGACAAGAAAATAAAAGATATCCAAACTTTAAAGGAAGAAGTAAAACTATATTCAGAAAAGGCATAGTCTTTTATAAATAAAATCCTAAAGAATGTACAAAATAACACTTTTTTAGCCAATATATGCTGTATTCAGTTTTGTCTTATACTCATTAATTTGTTGTCAATAAGCACTTTAGCCTCAAAAGCTTTATAAAAATATACCAAATAGCTGCATTCTCTGCTTCTCTTTTCCTTTCTGGGGAAAGAGACATGAAAGAAGAGGAAGATACAGAGGAAGACTAAAGGAACGAAAGTACAACCTGAGTGGTTGTACTGATGCAAGTTGACTACTATTTCTTTATTGCCCAAAGTAACTAATAACGAACCCCTGAAAACCAAAAGGAGTCGAGCTCTTGTTTTCAGAGGTAGCAAGGAATGGGAGATATGGGGACCTAGAGTCCTGCTCCATAGCCAGGCTTGTACAGATGGTGGCAGCTATCCAAGGATAGTGAAGGCATCTGAGGCTCTGGAGCCTGCTGTAAGAATGAGTAAACAGCTTAGGAACTTACTGAATGTTGTAGGGTACAGTACTGGGATTGAGTACCCCATACATAGTGAAGCCTTTATATAGAGGGTTCTTGAAGTCTGGTTTCCTCTGAACCAAGAAAGGCCACACAGAATGTGTTTTCTCATGGACTCTGTTAGAAAAGAAAAACAAGTCAAAAATTGTTAGTAGTAAGTAATCTTTTTTTTAAACTTTTATTTAATGAATATAAATTTCCAAAGTACAGCTTATGGATTACAATGGCTCCCCCACCATAACTTCTCTCCCACCCACAACCCTCCCCTTTCCCGCTCCCTCTCCCCTTCCATTCACGTCAAGATTCATTTTCAATTATCTTTATATACAGAATATCAGTTTAGCATATATTAAGTAAAGATTTCAACAGTTTGCACCCACATAGAAACACAAAGTGAAAAATACTGTTTGAGTACTAGTTATAGCATTAAATCACAATGTACAGCACATTAAGGACAGAGATCCTACATGAGGAGTAAGTGCACAGTGACTCCTGTTGTTGACTTAACAAACTGACACTCTTGTTTATGGCATCAGTAATCACCCTAGGCTCTTGTCATGAGTTGCCAAGGCTATGGAAGCCTTTTGAGTTCAGGCACCTCCTTCTTTGATGACCTGTTCTTCCCACTGGGATCTCACTCGCGGAGATCTTTCATTTAGGTAATTTTTTTTTTTTTTTTTTTTGCCACAGTGTCTTGGCTTTCCATGCCTGAAATACTCTCATGGGCTTTTCAGCTGGATCCAAATGCCTTAAGGGCTGATTCTGAGGCCAGAGTGCTGTTTAAGACATCTGCCATTCTATGAGTCTGCTGTGTATCCTGCTTCCCATGTTGGATTTTCTCTCCCTATTTTATTCTATCAGTTAGTGTTTGCAGACACTAGTCTTGTTTATGTCATTCCTTTGACTCTTAGTCCTATCATTATGATCAATTGTGAACAGAAATTGATCACTTGGACTAGTGAGATGGCATTGGTACATGCCACCTTGGTGGGATTGAATTGGAATCCCCTGGCACGTTTCTAACTCCACCATTTGGGGCAAGTCTGATTGAGCATGTCTCAATTGTACATCTCTTCCCTTTCTTATTCCCACTCTTATATTTAACAGAGATCACTTTTCAATTAAGTTTCAACACTTAAGGATAGTTGTGTATTAATTACAGAGTTCAACCAATAGCATTAAATAGAACAAAAAATACTAAAAGGGATAAAGTATTAAGTTGTTCATCAACAGTCAGGGCAAGGGCTGATCAAGTCACCGTTTCTCATAGTGTCCATTTCACTTCAACAGGTTTCCTTTTTGGTGCTTGGTTAGTTGTCACCGATCAGGGAGAACATATGATCAATCTTAATAGTACTGTTGAATTCGATAATCAGTCAAATTTTACTAATAAATAACCCAATTCAAAAGGGAAGAATAGGATATAATAGAAGGATAGTAATGTCACTGAAAAACACTGATAGCAAAAAAAAATTACCTGGATTTCAATTTATTCATCTTTAAAATGAATAAGAGGGGGCTGGCACCGTGGTGCAGTAGGTTAATTCTTCACCTGTGGCCTGGCACCCCATATGGGTGCTGCTTCTAGTCCCAATTGCTCTACTTCCAATCCAGCTCTCTATTATGGCCTGAGAAAGCAGGGAAGATGGCCCAAACACTTGGGCCCCTGCACCCATGTAGGAGACCTGGAAGAAGCTCCTGGCTCCTAGCTTTGGATCAGCCCAGCTCTGGCTGTTGCGGCCATTTCAGGATTGAATCAGAGGATTCAACACTTTTCTCTCTGTTTCTGCCTCTCACTGTCTGTAACTCCAACTCTCAAATAAGTAAATAACATCTTTAAAAAAAAGGTCACTTATGTCTATGCTAAATTTATAAAATAAAGTAAAAAAAATTAAAATAAGAGGTTAGAAAGAGTTTCATATTGGCGAGCAGGAGATTCTAAGTAGAGTCTTTGCTGTAGAGTAGCTGTGTGATCTTTAGAAAATCCCTAGCTCTTTCTGGGTCTTTTTCCCAACCTGAATAATGTGACAATATAAGGACTCTCCCTAATCTATCTAGCATTCCATGAATTGGTGACCTTACTACTTTTAAAAATTTGGTGGTGGGGGAGAGATGCACTTGGCACAGTGGTTAGGATGCCACTTGGGATGCCTACAATCCATAACAGAGGACCTGGTTAGAGTCCTGACTATTCTGTACTTCCAATGCAGCTTCCTGCTAATATGCTCCCCTTGGGGGCAGCAGATGATGGCTTAAGTGCTTGGGTCCCTGAAACCCACATGGGAGACTGGGATTAAGTTCTGGGATCCTGTCTTCAACCTGGCCCACTCTTGGCTGTTGCAGACATTTGGAGAAAGAATCAGCAGATGAAGATCTCTCTCTCTTCCACATAAAAGTGAAAACAATTTAAAAATTTAAAATATTTTGGAATTGCTTTAAAGTTACTAAGAGACAGGAATCCTGGAGGGTGAATTTCTGACTCTTCTATATTTATTTAAAGCCAGTCTCTCCTTCCATAGACACTGAAACACAACTGGCAATTTATACTAGTAAATATTCACAAGTCATTCCAGGTAGGCAACCAATGACTATGGTATTTATACTCCAAGACGTATTCTTATGTTTCAATTGAGGCTAAGGGGAGGCTGTTCATCCAGCCAGGAAGCCATTTAGTCAACCACCCTAAAATACCTGGGATCCTCTGATTCCTAATGACAGCCACTGTATCATCAAGCATGGGAAGGTCATTTGCACATATCATGTCAAGAAAAACTGAAGGTGGAGAATAAAGAGGAGTGGTGCAGGTGCTAGGACCTAAAATTTTGGTATTCTAACTTTTACAATTCTCAGACCATTTTAGTGAGGCCAAAGGCCCTGTATAATCATCTTTTACATCTGCTGTTAGTTAAAACAAGAAAAAACAAGTCTTGTGGAGTTAAGGTAACCAATAATTATTTACTATGTGTCAAACATTGTTCTAGACTCTACTTGAAAAATCTCCTTAATTTTTTATAACAAAATCCTGTGAGGTGTTTTAGCCCCAAATTACTAATGAGAAAATGAAAGTAAAATTAACTTTCTAAAGGCCAAATACCTAGTAGGTAACAGAGTCCAAATATGAACCTAACTAGATCTGCCTGATTCTAAAGGCTGTGCTTCCTCCACACCCTGCCCCACAAATGAACAGCATTTCTGCTTGTTTTAAGTAAATACTATTTTAACAGATGCTAAATGTTCAAAACTTTTTAACTTTTACATGGAGATACAGATTTTTGTGGGAAATAGGTCCAGATATATTAATCTCATTTTAAGAGGAGGAAAACCAACAATGGAAAAGATCTTGGGTTTTAGTGTCTAGGGAAGTATGTCAGAGACAGAATGAATATGTCTAAAAGCATTTGGGGAGGGAGTGAGGAAGGTCTACTTGCAAAATGGAAGAGAAATGTGGATAGAAGCTACAAAATAAGTACAAATGTTAAAGCAGGAAGACTCATCATTGTTTTGTGTTGGAAGAAAAGGGAATCACAGAGAGGTGATATCATCCAAAGTCATAAAGGGGCCAGAAAACTTGGGCTAACTGCTGACTCTGCCAACAGCTGTGAAACAGGAATGGGTTGTGAAATAGTTACTTTGCTGTCTACTTCTTTTTCTCTGTCGGTAAACAAACAAGAGTACTACTTACAGGTGCTCTAACTTATCAACCTCAGGAAGTATTTATGTTTTGTGTACTCTGAGGATATTAGTTTAAATCAGGGGTACAAATTCAACTGCCTATAGGAACCAGACAGATAATGTTAAAAGTATGTGGAGAATAAACTATAAGGAGTTGCAAGAACTGCAGCCAACACGAGTGAGTTTACCTCATTGAAATGGAGCAGCTGCTATTTTGCTCTAGCTAATTACCACCATGAGAAACTGCAGGCCTAGTATTGCCAGAGTTCCTGATTTTTCAGAATATCTTGGTATAATGGTTTTTCTATTTGGAAAAAAATTCTAAATTATCTGGATTTTGGTAAAATCTCCTGATAATTAAATGATCGAAAATAATTCACAGTTTAAAGATATACTCCACAGACTAAACAAACCGTGTCTTTTGGGCCACGTGTAGGTGTATGACCTGGCAGTCTGTGATCTCCGATAAGAGCACAAATTTGACTTAGATAATGACTTCTCATACCTAAACAGCAACTGATTCTTTATAAAGCCCTTGTGCATCCATTGTTTTATTGGCTCTTTATGACTGCTCTGAAAAGTAGGCATTGCTATTTCTGCTTTGCAGATGAGTAATCTAAAGTCTTGAGAGATCTCTGTGCAAACACCGAGTGCTTTATTCTTCCAAAGGCCTTTACATTACTGTTACCTCCTACCCGTTCCTGACTGCCATCTCAAATTCAGAGTGGTCAGTACATTTCTTTTATACAGACCCCTTTTCTCCCTATGGAGCATTTGCTCACAAACTGAATTTACCTTAGATCTTCCCGATCCTTCTGGCAGTTTCCAAGGAAGTTTCCAAACTGGCAAGAGAAAATATGGTCATGGATCTCCAGCAGAAAGTTTTCATTAAATTCAAAGGCACAGGGAAACTGTTCCATTAATTGCCAAATGCAGTCTAGGAACTGGGTGAAGACAGGGGACACTTCTTTGGGGTCCCCATCCAGATGGCCACACCTGAGAAGTGAAAATAAAGGTAAAGAAAGACACTGGCTAGCATCAGGGACTATGCTGTTTGGAATAGACTACAAGGTCACCTTTTGTCTATGTTGGCATTGGGAAGGAAATATCTCATGCCAAAATGCCAGCCAGAATCTCAAAGCCAGTGAATCCCAGCTGGCTTCTTACTGGCATTCTTCATCATCATCCAGGCTGCAAAACTTTGGTGATTGAGTCTATTTTCTCTTAGAGCCTCTTCCCAAATAGAACTTTCTGCAATGATGGAAATGTTCTACAGGTGTGCTGTCCAATATAACAGTCACTAACTATTAAGTACTTGAAATGCAGCCAGGGTGACAAAGGGACATTTTTAAAAATTTTTAAAATTTGATTTATTGAATAGCATATAAAGCTCACATCTACTGGTTCACTCTCCAAATGTCTAGTGCTGGGCTGGGGTCAAAGCTGGGAGCCAGAAACTCAATTCAGGTCCTCCACTCCCAATTATTTGAACCATCACTGCTATCTCCCAAGTTTTGCATTGGCAGGAAACAGGATTTGGGAGCCAGAGACAGGAATTAAACCCAGGTATTGTGATGTGGGATGCAGGCATTTTAACCACTAGATTGAATGTCCAGTCCTTGAATTTTTAATTTCATTTAATTTAAATCTAGAATTACATAGCCCCATTTAGCTCTATGTGAGCAAAGACCACAGTTAACATTTACTGTACAGTGCTTAGAACAAAATATGCATTTTAAGAAAAATTTATTAGGGGCCGATAGAGCAGGTAAAGCCACCACTTGTGATGTTGGCATCCCATATGGGCACCAGTTCAAGTCCTGGCTGCTCTGCTTTCAATCCAACTCTGTTAATGGTGTGAGAAAAGCAGTTGAAGATGCCCTAAGTACTTGGGCCCTGGCCGCCCAAATGGGAAACCTGGATGAAGCTCTTGGATTTGGCTTGGTCCAGTCCTGGCCATTGTGGCCATCTGGGGAGTGAACTGGCAGATAGAAGATCTCTCTGTCTCTCTGTAACTCTTTCAAATAAATAAGTAAGTCTTTTAAAAAGAGAAACATTTATTACGTGCAGGAACAAAATATGATTCCAGAACTGTTTAATGTTTCTTCTTCCATAATGTCCTGTTTACCACCCCTATCATCCACTGGATACCCTTTTCAACTGGAAACAAACTTGGTGTCCTCAGCTTCTATACTGAATGTTCGCCTTCGGATATAACTGCAACTCAACTCACCAAGGACAGCACCTCTTCTTGAGGCCCAAATCAAACAGAGAAAGCTAATCATTTCACCTTCCAGATACCATGATCCTAAAACAGGGCACGGATGGGGATCAGCTTTCTCCTTGTTCCTATTGATGCTTCAAAGCTACCACCCCTTTCACATTTCTAAAAACACTTCATTCATATGTGTATGTATGTGTATATATACGTGTGTGTGTGTACATTATGGGTCATGTGTTTAGCTTATTTACCTTCCCCTTCCTCAATGTTCTCTTCCACAAACCTGTGGGTCACTCCCCAACATTCTTTGAAGAATCTGACTCTGAATTATTTATCTTTGGTGTTGATGGAGATGGCCACCTACACTGGCTTAAATAACTGGTTCCTTAAGTGACTCAAATCCGATTCTCTTCACTGATCTACTCTATCTCATCTTCCTGAATGCATAGTCATAGGCTGGTTCTTGAAGCCATATAGAAGTTCTTACCCCACTTTTGAAATCTTAATCTAAATATCTCACTCTGAACACCATATGAGGGGGTCTTCAAAAAGTTCAAGGAAAATGTGTATTACTAAAATAAAAACTATGCATGGATTTCAAATATTTTATACCAAAATAAACTTAACTTTCAATTCCATTTTTACACAAACTTTTGAAGTATCCTCATATTATTATATTGCCAAAGACTGATCATCTTCTTACCTCATCTCAGGACCTCTCCACCTACTAGATTCCTATAGGTTTTCCTTCTTCTGGATCAAGCCTAGACTTCATGGTCTATTCCACTGACTACTTTCTCCCCATTTGCTTCAATTTTCTGGCCTTTCTTGTCATTATTCTCCTTAAAAATCCAACTGTAGCATCAGTCTAGAAAGCTGGTTTTGCCTAAATGAAAGATCTCCACGAGTGAGATCCCAGTGGAGAGAATGGGTCATCAAAGAAGGAGGTACCTTTCTCTGAAGGGAGGAGAGAACTTCCACTTTGACCATGGCCTTGTCTAAAAATGATCAGAATCAGTGAACTCAGGGGGCTTCCATAGCCTTGGCAGCTCATGACAAGAGCCTAGGGTGATTACTGATGCCATAAACAAGAGTGTCAATTTGTTAAGTCAACAACAGGAGTCACTGTCCTCATGTAGGATCCTCATGTAGGATCTTTGTCCTTAGTGTGCTGTACATTGTGATTTAATGCTATAACTAGTACTCAAACAGTATTTTTCACTTTATGTTTCTGTGTGGGAGCAAACTGTTGAAATCTTTATTTAATGTATGCTAAACTGATCTTCTGTATATAAAGAGAATCGAAAATGAATCTTGATATGAATGGAAGGGGAGAGGGAGTGGAGAAGGGGAGGGTTGTGGGTTGGAGGGACGTTATGGGGGGGAAGCCATTGTAATCAATATTCTGTACTTTGGAAATTTATATTCATTAAATAAAAGTTAAAAAAATTAAAAAAAAGAAAGAAAGCTGGTTTTGCTCCCAATCCTGACCAATGAATGATGCTTAAAAATATTACAAAACCATACAAATTTATGCCATTTAAAATTAAGTCTCAGGGTTGGCATTGTGGTGTAGAGGAGAAAGCTGCTGCTTG